TTTTGGACGATCTGAGCGCTTAGTTGAAGAGGCGAAGCAAGAGGACATGCGTCGTGCAGCAAGCGAGGTGGAAGCTGCGGCGCGCGTCGAAGAGTCTGGTGCCATCGTGCGGGACGAGGCAATGAGATCACAAGGGAAGCCCAAAGGTCGAGAAGGTTTTGACGAATCGACTTGCGGAAAGATGATGAAGGTGCTCACTTTAATGAACGACGCAAACAAGAACGAGCTTGAGTTGCTCAAGTTCTTGTTCGAGAAGGAGCTGGAAGAGCGTCAGAAGGAACGAGAGGCCTAAGCAAGAGAGCGTGAAACTCAAGGCAGGGAACGTGAGACCCAGTTGCAACAAATTCAAGCGCTCCAAACAACCATGACTAATTTGATTACGACTCTTGTAAATAAACTTTGATTGATATATATATCTTTAAAAATCAACTATGTCCTCCGTATCAAGTTGCTCTTCTAATTTGGTTGCTGATGATCAAAGTACAAACTGATTTGGTTTCCTCCAATGTGGCAACAGTGACAATTAGTCAGTAGCATTGCCACGCTCACGATCTTGGCAACTGGTGATTGCATGAGTTTTGACAGATTTTTGAATGTAATGTAGGGCCACAACGTCTTCATGACTTTAAAATTCCATTCCACGGCTTGTCGCACTCGACTCATAGACTTGTTGAAGTTTTGTTTGTCAACAGACAGTCAAGTTGTTGTCACGGTAGCCACTCAAGACGTACTTTGTCACACCATAGGCTGGGTCGTCATAAATGTACTTTGACTCGAAAATATCCGGGTGTTGGTCGAACGCTGACAATACCTTGCTCATTGCGAGCATAGCAGAGTCATGTCCACGACCCTCACACGGTCCGCAGAAGTGCACACAAATGCCATCGAGTGCAGAAATAGCTTGAAAGTTCAAACAGTGTATGCGCTTGTGACCGCTGTAAATTAGCTTCTGCAAATTTCTTCCATCGCCCGTTGCTGAGATCCGAGATGTCTGCACCTTTGTGCCGTCAATAAATCCAAACATAGGGTCCACCGGTGCACCTTTTTTGAAAACAGAGTCGCAGTATTGGGACATTCGTGATCGAAGCAGTTTGGCGCTTAAAAAGAGGGTTGTGCTCCACCGATCATACACATCATGCACCAAGTAGAGAAATATATCGCACAGCTGGACCCGAGACCGTCCAAACGTAAGGCCCATGTCGTGGTAGCACCTGGGGAAGGTCGAACCGACTGAGCAGGATACACATTGCTCCTTCCCGACAAACACGTGATCCACCAAGTGTGATGATGGTTGCAGGAAGTCCGAGTAGGAAGGCAAGGCATTGTATACCACCAACGTCAAAGCGGAAGTCCTAGATTGCATTTGCATGAGGGTGCTTGTCGAGGCAAATACGACATTTGGGATGATCGGTGGCTCAAGTACTGCATAATGTACATGCGCACGAGGAAATCACGTGATGCTTTGTTTCTCGCGAAAGGAAGCAAGGTAATGATGTCGTGGATGGAGAGCATTTTGAGCAGGCAGGGAATGAAAAAGTAACCATCGCTGTGGTTCTTGGTACAATGTTGAAGTTGACGGAAAGGATCAGAAATCACCAAAACGTAATTTGACTATATTTCTTTCGATATCGGTTCCGGTAGTCGGAGCGGTATAGGAAGAAAACGACGATTTCGAAACCTTTCTATCCAAGTACTACAGTCTGAAAAGAAATTGTAGACGCACCCCAAAATTTTCACCTTCTCAAGTATCAGTAAGGATAGCGGTTCAAGCCGATACGCAGTCCATACAGTCATGTTCTCAATCGGCACGTGAAAAAGGAATTGGGATGAAGCCATGTCAATAAAGAAAAAAATGCCATGGTCAAAATTTTGGCTAATAAGAAATTATAGACGCACTTCCATATAAGGCTTTATATCAATGCAATTATCGCGGCAAAGGATTGTTTGGGCCATTCTCGTAGGCATATCCTCAGCCAATTTGGCCAAGTATGATTGATCGATCTCAGCCCAAGACTTGAGAATTTGTACCTTCGATTCAGCCCTTGTTTCAAACTGACGTCCGTTGGCGTAGACTTTTCGGGCTAGAACGCCCCAAACATTCTCGATTGGGCTCAAGTCGGGACTTTTCGCAGATTACTGCATAGTTGGCAATGGCATGCCGTCAAGGAAGGCGAATGTCGAGCGAGATCGGTGGATACTGGCATTGTCGTGTTGGAACGTAGGGGTGGCCGGCTCGGAAAGGACCGCCAATTCACGCATGGCAGGCAGCAGGTACGTTTCTTGATACTTCGCGGAGTCTTGTCGACCGTCTAGGATGGCTAGCTCCGTCTTGTTGTAGAATCTTATCCCTCGCCAAACCATAATAGAACCGCCACCACCCACTCGCTTCGAGAAGGTTTGCTCGTCATGCCCGAGGTCATGCCAGTAGTACTGACAACCATCTCGACCGTCAAAGTTGAACTACTTTTCGTCGGTAAACATAGTCGCTTTCAATTCCGCGGACCTGTGGAGGTGTCGACTGGCAAAGTTGACTCGGTCTTTTTGTGCCTGGGTATTAGGCGCGGTCCGGACCGGCGTTTCATGTAATTTGCGAATTTGGACGTACGCAACACATTAAGGACAGTAGTTTGACTTACTTTACCGCCTAATGCTGTAGATTTTGCCTTGACGACATTTGTTTGCTTGTAGCAAGCCTGAAAATGCGTCGGATCTCGTGGCTGGTGAGGATATAACGACTTCCTGGGGTTTTCTTGCGGCTTGGTTGGTCGCAATTCCGTAGAAACGTTGGCATAAGCTTGTCGCTTCGGTGGATTGCTAAAGCAATCCACCGACAGCTCTATTGAAGCTTGTAAAAGGCTAAGATTTGTCCGTTCTCTTCGTCGGTGATACCTTTGCCCCGAGGCATGTCTTTGAAGTCAATTTTGGTACTGACAAGGCCAGGGTATCGTTCGATGTCCTTCTCTAAGTGCAACAGTCGAAGAATCGCTTCTATAGGATAAAAATGGAATCTTTTGCTCCAATTATGCACTTTTCTCTTTATTAACATGGCTTCATCCCAAATCCTTTTTCACCCTGCCGATTGAGAACACGACTGCATGGACTACGTATCGGCTTGAACCGCTATCCTTACAGATACTTGAGAAGGTGAAAAATTTTGGGGTGCGTGTATAATTTCGTTGTTTTTTGATCGAGTCCCATGGTCTAATCAAGACAAGACGAGGGCAGCAACTGTTTGGATCAGAGAAGTATATAGAAGAGGACATCGTTTGACGCCCTGTTCATGTGAGTGCCAAATCGACTTCTGAGTCATGACTGGGGCAATTGAATAACCGACGGAGAGGAAGGCAAGATTCTGGTTCATCGTAAACTCCATATGCAATATCGATTGATTGCTTAGGAACCTAGAAAAGTGACGCATGTGTGCGGAACTTCCTTCGTAACTACGGCCAGCCAAGCAGCAAAACGGTCCTGCAATCGCTGATCACTCACCAGCCGCGAGATCTGACGAATTTTCAAGATTTTACACAGAAAAAATACAATATTCTTCTTAACAGAAATCAACGAAATCTACTGTATTCAATACGTTGCGTACAATTAAACTTGTAGAGCACGTGAAGTGCCGGTCTAGATCTCCGTAACACCCAAGGATAAGATAGATAGGCTGAGTGAAAAGTTCCAACTGACTCCTGCACAAAGCCGTGGAATTCAAGGCGACTATTTTTTCTGACAAAAAGAGGTTCAACCTCGGCCGCTTAGAATATTGCCAGTACTACTGGCATTACCTACGTCACGTAGAGCAAGCTTCTGTGGGCATGTGAAATGTGGCAGTCATGATTTGTGGCGGCTTGAGCTTCTACGCTAGGTTGAGTTAACCGTCCTGGATGGTCAATGAGACTCTACTAAGTATCAAGAAATGCTGCGGTGGCACCTGCTGCCATTCATATATGTGTTGACAGTGCATTCCGATTGAACAAGACATTTCCAGTATCCACTGATCTCATTCGACAATCGCCAACTTCACAATTTGAGACCAATCGAAATGTTGGGAGCGTTCGAGCCCGTAATATCTACACCAAAGGTCGTCTTTCGAAACAAGGATCGTACGCATGGCTCAAATTCTCCAGTTGTGGGCTGAGATCGATCAATCATACTTAGCTATGTTTGCTGAAGGTATGTCTACAATCTGGCCCAAAATCATTACCGGGGCAATTGCATGGACATTTGGTCTTGAAAAGCGATGTGCGTCTATAACTGGTTTTCTGTTAAAGCTTTATAATGTTCTTTGTCGTCGTCTTGATATCATCTCATCCCCTAACCTTTTGGGTCATGCCATAAACTGTACTTGCCTGGACCACGTAACGGCTAAAACCGCTATGCATACAAATACTAGTACCTCACAAGGAACATTCTTTCAGTGTTTCTATCTATTCTTTTCCGATTGCAATCTCCACGCGCGTCGCACGAACATCTCAGCCACAACTAGCACACCGCGACGACCTCCCGTTGAACTCGCTGGAACGCAAAGGATGTTCGTTGAAAATGCACGACGAATAGAAGCACCATCACAAAGGATGCGATGAGACCATGCTGATGTCCCTCTGTGGTAGCTCCAGGAATGCGACTTGACTGTCGCGATACTCGATTAGTACTTGTTATCAAATTTATCTGTGCTAAAGAATGCAGGCACATGAGCTATAGCACCTAACGTTACAGGGCCATGTTTTCTTGCACAACACAACTGACTGGCCGACGGATCGTTGTGGAGGGAAAGGTATGGTTCGAGCCATGTATCGGTTGACCCGATGGTCGCACCAGAAGACCCCCCTCATCACACACTTTTGCAAGGCCAGTTCTGCTCAAACGCCGCGGATTTGGTCCCAAACTTTGAGCCTGACGATCTTTGAAGATATTGGTCGGTTTCATGTAACCGACAAACCGCATACTGTTGTAAGAGAATCGTGGCTTCTGCCGATGGAGGTGTGCGTGGAGCGACAACTCCGATGAGCAAGAGAGTGATTCCCATGGCGGTGGCGCCGCCGCCGTCGTTGCTGACGACGACGCCGTTGCCGCCGACCCTGGCATCCGCGTCATTGGCATCCAAACAGAACAAGGGAACAAAACTCCCCATGGATCGTTTTGCCATGATGCGCCAGGTGAACCTTGAAACTAGCGCCTCGGCCACCGCCGTCGACACCGTATCCGCGGGTCAGAATCATCGGGAGCGACTTCAGCAAGAATCCCGCCGACGGGTGGAAGTCGTGCTAATGGAGAAAGAAGATTATACGTTCACCCAGGAGGGCGTTGACCGCCTCAAGCGGCAGGAAGCACGACTCGTCATGCAGGATGAAGACAAACGCATGCGGCAGCTCATGAAAGATGAGGCCGCCGTCAAGTATCAAGCCCTGGAAAGAGAACGACGTCGGATTGAAGCCGAGGAACGGCAGGTGCTCCTCGAGAAGCATAGAGTGGAAATGGAAGCGCAAAAAGCCAAACAAGATGCTGACAACGAGCGCAAAAGACTGGTTAGTCGCATATTCCCATGGTCTCAACTGCTCGGTGACGGCACTTGCAGGAACGGGAAGAGCGCATGCGCAAAATGAAAGAAGCATCCGATCGCAAGGCTCGCGAAGAGTACTTGGCAAATGAAGCGGTCAAGAAGGCGGCACTGGAGAGAGAGCGTCAAGCACAGCAGGAACAGGTGGCAACTGCCGTTATAGCTTACCAAACCGATGACAAGGAACCTCGTGTAGATGGAGCGGCTCCACATGGAAATCGAGGACGAAGCCGAGCGCTGTCGCATGCAAAGAGCTGCTGAGGAAGCGTTGATCCAGGCCAAGGTCGCAGCGGAGGAGGCCAAGTGGAAAGCTTGGGAGGAGGCGGAGGCCGCGCGAGAAGCGTCCGAGCAGGCAGCGCGACGAGCGCAAAAAGCTGCGCAGTACGAGGCCGACAAGAAGCGCCGCATGGACCTGCATCGCCTTCGCAAAGAAACGGAGAACCGGCTCAAGCGCATCGAAGCGATGGACCACCCTACTCCGCTTCCCCCACCGCCGTCCAGAACCCCCGATTCACCTTCCAAGAGTGAGGACTAAGCTCGAAACACTCTGCATCCTACTCACACCTCCTCTGCTGTTTGCCAGGTGTGCCAAAAATTGGGTCCTTTTGCTTGAACCCGTCCGTGGAAAAGCCAACAACTGGGGTGACCACTCGTGCGCACCACTTGGCCACTGAGCGCGTTCGTTCGTAGGACTTCAAGGACATTGCGGCGATGTCAAAAGATGAGCTGCGTGAAGAGCACAATACGTGTGTGCAGCTAAAGAAAACGATCAAGCAAGATATTGTATCCTGGTACGGCACCACCCATCTCACCGAGCGTGCTGAGTCCGTACGCCAAGGTGTGACGCGTTCCAAGCCAAGCTGGGTCGTCCCCCGACGCTCGAGGAAAAAACCGAGATCCAGCCGCTGTACAAGCGCTATAGCGACGTGGAGGCGCACCTCCGGCTTGTCAAGCACCGATTGGAAGGGTTGGTGGCGCAGGAAAAGGCAAAGAAGGCGCAGGAAGCATCTGTGTTTCATCAACTCAGTGCGGCGGCTGAAAGCAAAGCGACTCCCACGCTTCCGCCGGCAACGTTGAAACCAACCACTTCTCGCGATCAACTCCATGCGATACTCGACTCGACCGCTGACGCGGCAGTTCCATCGTCCGACCTCGATCAACTGGTGCGTGCGTCTGCGCTGTCGTTGTTGTTCGGGAGTGTTTGGATAAAGCCGTTGTGGCGACAGACCACCCGAAAGAAGACTCTCAAACAAGAGATCCAAGACTGGTGCACACAGTTCCAGAGCGCGCATGGACGTCCCCCGACCATCGCAGACAAAAAGGACGTTCAAGGATTATACGAAGAGTATGCAGCTCTCGACGCGAGAATCAAAGCTCTCAAGTAAGTCGCCCACTCCGTCCGTCGTGTCGCTTCATTTCAACACAGGTATAGCTCGGCGGAAACTGTGCTTATGGCTCCATCACCGACTGCAGCTGCTGTATTGCCAGGAAACTTGAGCCTCGCGGACCTCGTGAATCTAGTCCACGATGCCCTCGACGACCCGACCCCGCTCGCCCCTCGTGATTTGGCGCAGCGCATTCTCGCCATCCATGAAGCAATGGACGGTCAGAAATGCTCCCCGTTTTTGCGAGTCGATGGCGTTGAGAGCGAGTCGCCGGCGGCCCAGGCTGGACTTCAAGTTGGAGACCTCATCGGTCGGTTTGGCACCGTCGTCGCCGTCTTGACAGCCACCCATTCGAATTTGATTCGCCAAGTGGTGCGTGCACCACCTTTGTGGACGCTGCTTGTTCACGAGCAACTTTGTGATGATGCGGGCTATTAGGTGACTGTGGTGAATGCAAGGGTGGGAAAGGGAGTGTCCATCTCGCTGCAGCGGGGCAGCTCGTCCTGGCGCCACTTGGTGCTCAAGCCTCAAAAGTGGAGAGGCAAAGGGTTGTTGGGGTGTGTTTTACAGCCATACGAAGCCCCTGGTGCCACGCAACCTGCCCTGGTCTCCATTTCTCCACCAAGGCCTGTCGAACCATCGCAGCCACATGAGCTCGACCTGTACGAAGCCCTCACCGTCCCCCTCCCCGAACCTATGATGCTCCCGCTCGGGGACTTGGTTGTTTGGCACCACAAGCTCTTGGATGGAATGGACAGTTTGGCGTCCAAAGAATCGATGGAAGCGATGAAGACCCAAATGGAAGCGACGATGGCCCAACTAACGGTACACATTCAACGCCTCATGACGGAGAGCCATGCGATTCCGTTCCTAAAAGTTGAATCGGTCGAAACTTCGTCGCCGTCGGCCCTCGCTGGTCTTGAACCTGGAGACTTGCTCGGGCGAGTTGGCTACGTCATGTACTACAACGGCGCGACCCATGCCACCTTGATCAAAGAGATGGTGAGTGAATTGCCCGCGTTGCCACGGAATTCAGAGGCATGTCGTAGGTCGGGCTTGTCAACGACCGCACGAACCACGGCATTTCAATCTCCTTCTTACGACGGAATCGCACGTGGCGACCCCTTGTGCTTCGGCCCCAGAAGTGGAGCGGCCAAGGGCTCCTCGGGTGCATTCTGCATCCGTTTGACGCCCCTGAACGCGTCAAGGTTGACCTCGATGCTTCTCTCTTCGACCTGACTTCTCTGCCGCGTAGAAGCTCGCGTCAACGCTAAAGCTATCGCCCACTGCGACCCAACCGATCCCGCCCCCTCGCGTCGTTGCCACCGTGCCAAGTCTTCCCAGCCAACTTACACGAGACGAGCCAGCCCCCGAGCCTGCCACACAAACCTTTACCTCGCCAACGACTACAGACGACGCCACGATGCTCACCGAAACACCACCAAAAAACATTGCAGACGAGTGCATCCTGCCAGCCGACACCGCTTACGAGCGCATCGAAGGAACGACGTCCGACGTCGCATGCGAGCACTCGACACTTCGTCGAGACGTAAACGAATCCATGGCGCTGCGCCACTCGCTGGTGGCCCCAAGCCCGGCCACGGAGATCCCCAATGTGGCTCGTACCGCGGATACTTTGGGCATCGCCACCGATGCAGACCTTGCGCAACCCCTGGATATGGGTGTACCCTCCATCACGAACCAACCGGGCAATCTCGGTGACCGAAATCGGGCAGCCGAGGCAGCTACGACCGCAGTCACTGTCGAGAACTGTGCGCCGAAAGCATTCAATGCTACAGCGCTCCATCCAACCGTGTCCGATGGTAGCGACCATGGCCCGTCTGTCGAAAACCCTCGGCTGGCCACTGCTGGCAACAAGGTACCGCTCCTTGCCACTCCCGAGACCCAACGAGGGCTTGGACCCGACAACAGCGCCTGCACGGACGCGCAACCAATTGCGACGGAAGAAGGCGAGCCAGGCACACCGTCAACCGAGCCTATTCATCGAGGAACTTACCAAGACACTAACTTGGGCAAAAAAGAGCCGTCTGGGCCAGACAATGATGCGTCGTCGGCACCAACACCAGAGCAGGAAGCGATCGATATCCCGCGACAACAGGTCGCCCACGTCGAGGAGAGCGCTCTAGATGACGCCCTAGTCAGTCCAAATACTGTTCCAGAAGAGCAAGGCTCGATTTCCCCTCAGCCTGACACGGCCAACGCATCATCTCAAGAACCAGAGGGCTCATCAAGTCATGTGGAAAGCCAGGATCACGCCAAGGAAATGACAGCGGTTGCGTTTGAGGACGACGCAGACGCTCCGCTCATCGTGCCCCAATGGCCGGCCCCCGCAGAACGCTTCCCGGCTTCGACCATCGAGCCATTCGACGCTCTCAACGAGACCACAACGCCTGCAACGGACGACGTTCACGAGTCGGTGGCAGACAGCACCGTCGACGACGCACCATACAACTTTCCCGTTGAAGCATTTGGCGTATTTGAGGAAGTCACAGGGAATGCCGCACGTGCGGGGCTTGAGGGAAACGATTACTTGGTTTGGTACGATGGCATGCCAGCGGCCACGGGCGGTCCCCCTTCCAGCAGTGCCCTTCTCAACGCCTTTTCCAAGTGTGCATTGCCACGTGTGCTATCCCCTATCTCACCGACATTGGTTTAGATGCACCGCGTTCCCACTGCGACTCCACATCGCGCGCTGGAACGTTGACGCCCTGCTGTACGAGACCCACGACGTAGAGCTCGAGTCCTGGGATGGGGTCGGGATCGTTTTGCCGATTGTTGCCGCCGACGATGCCACGACGACGACGACTGCGAGCAGCAGCTCTTCTGGTACGCCCATGGCATTGTGGTGAGCATGAGATGGAGTTGTAGTTGCCCCACCTGTCGACAACGGAGGCGCGTTTGCCCAAATCAATGCAGTATATGACACGTCCCCGGCGGACAACGGAGGGTTGATGGTCGGGGATCTCGTGTTTTGGATAACGGACCTCCCCGTGTTCCCCACCCTCGACAGTGTCTCCGACTGGATCGGTGCCATGTATTCCGCGGCCCAGGCCGTCGAAATCCACGTCTATCGGTACTCGGTCGACGATTCCCGGTAGCCTCCTCCCCTGCCACCCCCTCGTTTCGCTTTGCGTCGCCTTTTTGTCGATGGAATCCGCCTCGTTCATCATCTAATGGAAGGTGTTTTTGTTTTTGGAGCATAGCTACGACGAACTCGTGCTTCAAATCCAGCCCGACCGATGGTGCGCGCCCCAGCTGCACTTGTCGTCGGCCGTTCGCCGGAACGTCGAGCTGCTTGGCGTGGATCTCATCTTCTTCGACATTCCCGTGCCCCAAACGATCTATACTCCGTTCCTCCTTGTCGAGCACGTCATCGATGGCTCTCCCGCCGCGGATGCCGGGCTCGTTGCAGGTACATTTTCGTCGCGATCGCGTCGTTGAAACAGAGGAATATTGTCGAGGCGAGCGTAGGGGATTGGGTTGGCAAGATCGGCCAGCTCACAGCGTCGAGTTTGACGACGAGGCCAGCCGACGACGTCATGGGCCAAGCGCACTTGTACATTGACAAGGCCATGCCTGTGCAGCTCGGTCGGTTTGACCGGACAACGCAAACAATGCACACATTTGACGTGACGTTGCGACCGCAAACGTGGGATGGGTGCGTACATGCTGCGAAGATGGCGCGTGGACTGTTCTCAACGAAATATCGCAGCGAGGGGCTAGTGGGGTGCCAACTCAGTCCGTGGAGCCCCCAAGACCTGGCCCCATTCCTCGTCGTCGAGTTGCGCGCGCCGCAAACCCCTTGCGACTCCGCGATTCAAGAGGGGGACCTCGTCCTGCGCGTCGGAGATTACGTTCACAGCGCGTCGATGCAGGAGGTGTCGCTTTACGTCGACAGCCGCGCCACTGTGTTGCTCGTGCTGCAGCGATGGGACTCGTCCCAAATGGCGTACACTACGTTTCCTGTGATCGTCGCTAGTCCACCCACGAGTGCGACAGCATGGACGTTGGATGGCATCGAGATAGGTGGGTGGTGCTGCGCCGTATACGAAACGTACTGGGCCAGGTACGTCCTGCCATCCCGTTGGGGAGTCCTTGGCAATGAGGGTCTGGGAAGCATCATGGAGAACATTGGGTCAGATACGAAGAAGCCCATCCAGCAGAACTGCCGTGCAAAGAGTGCTGGGCCACCACGTTTAGCACGGTCGCTCACGCTGCGGCGTATGCTGGCCACGACCCGTGCCTGCGGTATTTGGGCGAATGCTTTGACGTGTTTGTGATGGATTCATTCGGGTGCGTGGGTCCCGACAGAGCGAACCTCATGCGACCATCCTTGTCTAGCCGGACGCCGCTCTTTTACGCGTGTTATGCCAACCAAGTCGACTGCATTCAGCTGCTCCTGACAATGGACTGTTCGAATCTCAAGGAGGCGATCGACGCCAATGGCGACACGCCGCTACATGCGGCGACCAGCGGCGGGGCCTTGGCCGCGATTGCGCTCTTGCTCCAAGCCGGCTGCAACCCGGAACCGATCAATTACTCGGGGTAAACACGTGGATTGTCGCGGACGGGTGTGCTCAGATGGCAATCCTGGCTAGAATGCGACCGGTGCACGTCGCCCCGTCGGCCGATACGTTGCAAGCGCTCGCTGCGGGCGCCGCAGACCTCCTCGCCTTGGATGGCTCTGGCCGCACGGCGCTCTCGTACGCATGCATGACCGGTGACGAGGCGAGCGTCCAGTACCTTGTGGCCGAGTGTACCGAGTTCATCGACTTCCCCGACCCCGAAGGTCCCCCTGATAGCGTCCTCGGCTTGTTTGCACCGTGGGTGACGTGGTGCGTGTAGGCGATACGCCCCTGCATTTTGCTGTGGCGGGGGGATTTTTCACGTGCGTCCAAGCAATCGTGGCAGCAGCTTCCCCCAAATACGTCCTCCGCCCGAACAAGGCACAGCAAACTGCTCTGGACGTGGCACGTGCGAACCCCGCCAGCACGGCGATTGCCCAGTATTTGGAGCAAACGTGCGTGGTAGACGAGTCGACGGCCGTCCTTCGTTGAGAAATTAATGTCAGCGTGACTGAATTCTCGTGACCATGTAGTTGCGATGGACGTTGTGCCTCGACCGATGGTCGGCTGCAGACGGGTTGAGATGTATACTCCAGCCCATTTTTGTCAAGGACAGAGCGCAAAGCTCGACTGGTTGTGTTAGACTACTCTGCAGGTGGCAATGACCCCCCAGGGATCGCATGCAACGTGAGCGCCGACGACGACGAGGGGAGCCGCGGGAGAGACTTGCAGTGTGGCGCAGTCTGCGGGCGCTGCAGCAGCAGCGATGCGGGCGCGCCGACGGTGGAGTCATTCTATCGACAGTGCGTATGGGTATCGTCAATGCCAACGGCGACGAACCACCTACCTGGAACTTTCCCACGAGCGCTACTTTTTCCAGACATGGCTGGTCGTTCAAGTCGACGGCGTGCACGAGGTGGGTGGCTGCTTGAACAGCGCTGACAGCGTCCGCTACATCTGCCGACGCCTTGGCGGTGCCATGCCGCGGCAGGCGGAACCCGCCCCGATAGATAAACTTGTCTTTTGTGTGTGGATGGATGTGACTGGGCTCGGCCATGGCTTTGGGTGGCACGGTGGTGTGGCCAGAACGTCTCGGAATCACGGCTCTTGTGTCGATCGGGTTGGTCTTTGTCGATTTCTTGGCATCCATCGCATCGTCAACTTGGTTGGTTGGATCCCTGTGGTATTACGACCGGTATCCCGTTGACACACGTTGCACGGGTAGAGATCGTTGGCTCGATGGCAGTGCCAGGTCGAGTGGGGTACGCACCGTGGAGATAGTGGGGCGGGGGTCGATTCGTATATTGGTCGATCACACGAAATGCACGTGGCGGTGTTTGGCCGGCCCTTTCCCGGGGGCTGGCCATCGAACGACGTGGCTGAAAGCGAGGCATCTACAATTCGAACCGTTGGCGTACGCTGCTAGCGTCTGCCGCGGGCGAACCTTTGAATCGACATTCGAGGCATGCCCGCAAGCGCCGTTCAAAGATATCCCGCGCCTGCACCGTGTACTTGGCCTCTTGCGGCGGCGACAACTTGTCGACCAAGTGATGGACCTAACGGAGAGCATGGTCAGTGCATGGGGCGGAACCACCACTCGTTCGATCGACGAGCACGAAACACCGATTGTTGAGGCCAGTAGAGACGGACCTTCTTTGCAAAGGATGCCGCCGCAGCCTTCCGCAACGAGTGCAAAAGCCCTGCTTCGTCCACGTTTAAGTCGTCCGTGAGGAGCTTGACATTGAGTTGGCACCGAATCGAGCCTGACATGAGCCGTCCGGCCCGCAGCAACAGGCCAGACAACTCGCTCTTGACGTCGTCAGGGTACGACGTGCTGTGCGAACTACGTTCCGTTTGGCTAGCAACGAATCCTTCCACCAAGGGTGGTGCCCGAGTCGGGGGAGTCTGTACCGGAAATGCTCGTGCTTCAAATCGATTTGAGCGATCGAGAGTGCCAACACATTCAACTGCTTCTCGACCGCCGCCACGTCGTTCAAGTCGACGTGCTGCAGACCGTCCATGACCTTCTTGAGCTCTTGCATGCTTGTCTGAGTGTGCCTGTGCAACTTGGTTATTTGCGGACACACATCACGGGGGATAATTGTACTTGTGTTCGGCTTCCATCTTTGCCACGACGCGTTCGAGGACGATGGAGGTCTCTTTGAATCCTTGTTCGAGCTCGCTGTGCTGCGCCTTGGCTCTACACGACACGTCACACCGCCATGCGCTCAATGGGAAGGTGCCACCGGTCAAGGTGGGACGCTGTGGTCGATTTCAAATCGCTCAGGCGATTCGAGATCGCGCCCATCGTCTACGTGTGCCTTAGCAAGAAAAGCGTACACAGTTTGAGGGCTGTGGACTGCGATGCCCACAACATCACTCTGTCCCGCAGCACGTGGCCAAAAATACACACCGACATCTCCTCGGCCGCAAGCGTACCTCTTGGGCCGACACGTGTTCGCTTCGAATGTCGCGCATTTCGAGCCGCACATTCGCCACGTTTGCATTCGTATGGCTGAGCTCCGCCTACACAAACGGACGGCGTTCGTTCGCGTCACGAGCTCGAGTTGCACGCCTACATGAAATTTGGGCAGGTCGGACGCGACATCGCGCACTTCCCCCCGCACAGCATGCACCGACCGCGCGAGCTCTTTGCACTCGACGGCCACCATTTTGTTCGTCTCGCCTTGCGCCCACTGAACTTCGCCCGCTTGACGCCGAAACAGCGCGACTACGACAGCCTTCGTCATGCACTCGGTCGACCAAATCGAAGATTTCTCGTTTACATTCGTTGTTGAGCGCGTCGAATGCTTTGTCGGCATCATCCAAACGCAGCCGAAGTTCCTTTTCCATGCCAGACACCGCCGCGTCCAGCTTCAAGTGGAGCGCCTGTGCCTTCATCTGGTGGTTTGTCAGCACGTCGAGCCGCGTTTCGTGAGTTGCCACGACGTTGGAAACGTCGCCAAGCCTCGTCGCCAAGTCGGCCACGGTCGCATCCACGGCATCAAGCCGTCCGGTCGCGGCGTCAACTCGAGTTGCAACGTCTCCCACCTTCCACTGGAGCTCGGCCACTACAGCTTCCTTTGGTCCAACTCGCTGACTTATGATGTACGCTCGGTGTACCTGAACTGGCCGTCGCGTCTTTATGGCTGCTTAAGGCTTCATGGACGTCACCGAGCTGAGCCTGGAGTTGGTGGTGGGTATTGGCATGGCTCTGGAATGTCGAGTGGTAGTCGGAATCCCGCGAATCGACCGTCGCGCGGAGTTGCAGCAGCTTGGCGTGGTTGTTGGCAGCCGCATCGTCCAGTGCTCGAACGCGCTTGGCCAGGTCTTCGCTTGTGTGGTCGACCGCGGCCACCTTGTCTCGGAGGAACGCGACGGTATCTTCCATCACATCCACTGATTCTTGCTGCATCTTGATACGGTTCTCCGTCCTGTGGACAGGCACAAAGCGACTTTGCTGCCAAGGAATTTCAAGCATTTTGAAGCAGGCGTACACCGTGACGACGTTGGTGATCGTGGTCGAGTTTTCGTGGATGGCGTTGAAAATGCCGTCAATTCGAGCCATCGTGGACGCTTCGAACGCTGCTTTCCACTGTAGAGCAAAGGCACGTCAGGCCATCGAAAAATGCATGGGGTACACCAGCAACACAACAAAGCACAAGAAATGAAGATGATGGTGATGTTGAACCTGGGCTTCCGCAGAGGCTTGTGCCGCCAACTTTTCGTCCACAACACGCTCGACCTGAGTTATCTTGACGTCGGTGCCGTGCACGAGTTGAGCGGCCTGGATCCAAGCGTCGGATTCCACGGTATACATCGAGTTGGCCGTGACATGACGATGCATGACCGAGTACCTCGGCTAGAACACTCTGTCGCAGCAAGTCGGCATCGGCAGAAGATGGCAGCGCCGCGACCGCCCGCTTGTGTTTTTCCAGCTCCAACTGCAGCCTGCCAAAGCGCCATGCGCGCTCAAGTTAGAGTTTGGAAGCGTTGGGTTGAGATAGGTGAAGAGGAACTCTACGTTGCAATGTGGACGTCATGGTCCAGTCGGAGCTTCATTTGATGGGCTCGGAGGTCGTCGAGGTGGTGAAAGAAAGTAGCTGTATTGGAAGCCGGGGGACCACTGCTTGATGGTTCAAGACGAGAGGCACCGGACGTCGACGACGCAAAGATGTTCGACTCGACCACCGTCAAGCGATCGGCAAGGCCTGACGCAGCGATCAGGTTATGTCAGGTGAACTGTTTGAAGACCGATCTTACTCGCAAGCGCGGGATGGCTCGGTATCGATGACTCGATGTCGTTCAGCCGTGTCACGAGGGTTTGGAGGAGCTGCTCCAGCGAGTTCGACTCAACGTGCAACAAGTTTGCGACGTTCATGTCCTTGAGATGGTCACCACATCCACAAGTGCAGGTGCAGTTACTACATCCCGACGAAAATAGGCACGTTGCTGGACTTGACTCCAGAATCTGGAGTCGATAACAACGCCGTTTACAACGTGCGTGCGTGTATAGCTCACGAGAAGCTCGTGCGACTGGAAGGGTGCACATCAACGCATACTCGACAAACCAAACGATTCATGGACATGCTTTAGAGTGCGAACCGACGTCGTCGACTAGTTTGTACATGCCGTCGTGCTCGGCCATGACTTGGGCATGTCGCTTCATGCGCCACCGCCAAACCAACATGAGCAACGTACAACTCAGCGCAGTGCCCACGGTGACGTACACGATGGGCGCCGCCACGTCCCAGCTGGATGACGGCGGCGGTGGTGGCGTTGTCGACGGCATCGTTTGGGCCAGTTGTCCTCCTTCGGAAACAATCCCAGTCCCGGCAGCAGACACAGCTAGCATCGTTTGCAACAGAACCTGCGCCGTGACCCATGACTGCACCTTTGGCATGATGAAGTGCACTGCACGATGCCGCGGGGAAATCCACAATCATCTGCGTCGCGGCTTTCATTCACGCAGCGCGTAACGAACGACCCAGGAGGGTCATCCGGATACGGGACCAGAACTGTTGCATTTTTCTCGGCCCCAAGTCGTGGTGTTCCGGACGAGGTCATTCACGGTACTGTTGATGCTCGCGCGTAGTTGCGGATGGTCGAGGTTTACTGTTGAACCCTCCGCGGTGGGGCGTGCTTGCTGCTGGCTGAACTCGCCGCCGCAGGCATGTACCTTGCAACATTTTGGCCACGAGGCCCACTGGTGTTGGTGTGCATACATATAGAAGCATGATTTCGCAACATCGGGGGATATTTGCATACTGTATATAACGGAGGGATGCTCGATGGAGTTGACGGCATCCCGATTTGAACATGGTGTCAAGCACCGCCACGAAGGACGCGGCGCGCGACAGATACATGGAGAGTATCGTGTGTTGTCGCGGCTGCGACATCGCCACGTCGTCGTACCAAAAGAGTAATAAAATCTCATGAACCCGATTTTTTGCTTCTTCTTGACTAATACATGAGCATGGATTTGTTTGGCAAAGTATGTACAATTGTGGAAATATGGTGGTAAAACAAAAGTTAAGCCCAATTTCTGTCTTAATGTTTGTATACTGGCCTTGAAATAGGGTATTTCTCAAGATCGTCCCACGAGTGGAAATTTTTCTCATGATCGTCCAAATTGAACGTTCGTTTTTTATTCGAAATCGTCGACCGCAGCATGATTGGCTAAACGTCACATGTCCGTCATCCTTGGAAGTTTGTCCGAGGGGGTGTTGGCCCTCACCATTCCAGAATTTCAACGGCCCCCAGCAACCGCTGCCCGCACCCGCCATCCACGACGCCACACCGAGCGCGACACCCACCGTGCGGTTTGACCCAGCGACTTCGATCTATACACATGAACACTCGGTCCATCTTGCCGCGCTGCACGTGCAATTTTTAGCCAATCATACCGCGGTGAACGCTTTGAAATAAACAACGAACGGCCAACTCGCACGATCGTGAGAAAATTTCAACTCGTTGGACGATCTTGAGATACACCACGTTGAAAAACACAAACAACATGTGATTATGACATGTTTTCCTACACGTATCGTAGCTGGGCTTGGGGGCAACCCAGTGAGATACGTACCCCCCAACACGACCTTCTTGTGATGCATGCCTCTCATGGAGGGGGAGTATGCCTGCAGAACACAAGCAAGGGCAGTGCATCCAAGCCTCTCGTGCCGCAAGTGCGGCGAAACCGCCAGCGATGAAGAAGTAGGCAGTAAGTTTTAGGAAATTCTAGCTTGACACTGCGAACACCAAACATAATGCTAACTGGACGTGCATCAGCTATGATTGCGTCGAAGGATTCCCTCCCTTTGCACAGGACAGCGCCAAGGGCACTGCGAAAGGATTGTAAGCATACGAGCAGTACTCGCTGTTGCGAACGATAGCCCCAACGCGCCGTTCAAAGCGAAACGAGACATGGACAACCACGACTTCGACCGCCAGTGGATGAACAGGACGCTTTGCCAAGCCAGGCCACAGTTTGTTGAATCAAAACAACTCGTGACCGAATCGAACTGACGAGGCGGCGAGAACCAAACGCTGTGGTCGCGACAACGTTCCATGGTGCCACAACACAGCGGGTCGGAGGTTGCCAATCCTCAAGGCACCATGTCCACGACATGGACATTCACGCGGCTCTAGCATGGAACCTGTTCCGAAACGCGCAATATATTGATTGTGGGATGGTATTGACGTAAACACTACACCAGTGTCGCAGTCTAGTCGCAGCCAGATCCACCGGCCAAGAGGTAGCACTGCGTCGATTCGAACATGGAGAGCAGCGTCGACGTGACTGACAAACACAAGATGGAAAACATCGCGACAATCATGGCGGCCCCGAGCATCGGGTACTTGCCTCCTTTGAGCAACAGTTCCTTGACGGCGGCCTTTTGCGGTGGCAAAATGATCGTCCAACAGCACGCGATGATTGTCGTCGCGTACACAATCATGTACGAGTACGCGGCATCCCGGCGAACTTCGGGCGTGTCCGTCTTGATGTCGGCTTTGGCCACCCGGAGCTGCGTCGAATACACGTTGGTGATCATCGTTCCAAACACGCTGGGCAAGTTGCCCACAGTGGTCAAGAGCCCATACGTCAGCCCTTCGTTGCCGTCGCCCGCCAATTCGACAATCACAAACGTCGTGACAACGAATTGGATGCCCAGGGGAATGTACTCGGTGAGGGGGATGCCGAGATAAAACCACTGGTTGCGCACGATGTTGTAGATCGTGAGGAACTGCGCGACCGCGTCGATGCAGCTCGCCGACAGCGTCGTGATGACCAAGAGCAAGCGCCAGTTCCAGTTGGTGCCCCACTTGCCGACTGCAAACAGCGTCCCAGAAAACACCACGTACGTCAGCACGGTCGCGATCGAGCTGTTGACAGGTTCGACCTTGGCCCAGTACACTTGGATGTAGTTGCCAGCCAACGACATAATGCCAGACGAAAAGAGGTTGAACATGAAGCTAAACACCATCACTTGCAGCACGGCGCGTTGTTGGATGAGGTTGAACACTTCAGCAAAGTACGTGGACCGGTTCACGGCCGCGCGCTTGCGATCTTTCATGAAGAAGAACACGAGCACCACGTTGACTACACACGGCACAGCCATGATCCAGAAGTACGCATTCACACTCACGTCAAAGCTGAACGTGCCGCCGAAGCGCGGAGAGCTCATGCAGAAACCAGACACCCCCGTGATCAGCGCGTTGAAAATGTACCGCGTTGCGTACGCAGACGATTGCAAGCGGCCGCGGACGTGGTCGGGCTCACGTTGGGCGTATTCCACGACCATGGCGTCGCACGCGACGTCGGCCATGATGTAGCAAAAGCACGCAACAGCGCAGAGAAGGGCAAGGAGCGACCCGTGGGATTGCGCGGACTTGATGTCTTCGGCTGAACTGTCGCCGTTGACGGCATCACCAGCAGGCTTGAGCGCAATAATGACAAAGCAAATGGCCGTCAAGGTCCACCCGAGTAGAATGTATGGCTTGCGGCTATACCCCATGATGGGAAAGCAGTCCGAAAGCATGCCGTAAAAGACTTTGAAGGACCACCCCAAACTCATGAGACCGCTGGCAGCGCTGATGGTCGCCGATTCCAGGCCAAAGTAATACGTGAGGACGGGCAGCTTCATGCCTCCAATGCCACCTATGCAAACGCCAACGACGGCGTATTGGAACAGCAGGACGAGCACCTCGGGGGAGGAGTAGTTGAGCGCGCCGCCTTCGCGAAGGGCGCCGTCCTCGAGGTCGAGGGGGGTGTTTGCATCTTTGAACGCCGCGCCATCTTTATCCGCATCGCTCTTGGTGATGGACGCAACGTACGACACGCGCTCTTGGAGGAGATGGTTCGAGACCATGGCAAATTCAGTTGTGAGCCCAACCCGGTTGCGCAACGAAGCCACGCGAACGAAAGACTAGTAGAAAGGGGGGTAACCCCAGCTGGGGGTCCACCTGACTGAGAATTGGGTATGTTCAAGTATACTGGTGGGCGCAGCGAACCCTGGCAAAGCTCGCGGGCGTTGGACCATCTTGTTTTCCTGTCAGATCAGTTGAATGCATACAGACAACATCAAGCAAAAACGCATCTTACCCCATGATTGGTCAAATATGCACTCCGTGTATTTGATTGAATCAGATTCGCGCTATGATTGGCCAAATACATCCTGGGGCTCTCCTATTGGTTGGTTTGAGAATCGGTCGTATCAACTTAAAGTTGCCCCAGACCCGTCTTCCTGCCCCGCGCTCCACGCTATGACACAGCGATTGCCAAGACTCAGCTCCTCCATGCTTCCGAGAACTACACACTCAGCGCGCATGCGAATTGTGCCGTTGAGCGCATGTCTCGTTCTGCGTGAAAAACGTAGTGTTGATCAAGAAGAGTCAAGTTTACGGCAGCTCTCGGCAACAAAACACAATCGCCTTTGTTCGCGAGACAGGTCACACAGCTTATCCCGCATGATAAAGATCACTTATATTTAACAAAAGAGGTGACTCTAGACTGTCATTTGCTAATTACTGTGCAAATAGTGCGTGGATGAAGCACATTTAAAACGAGCGAATACTACTCCAATCGACGCAAAGCTGACGCCAGGCATATCATGTCAATCGCGCATGAGCCTATATCAGCGATATTTCTGTTGCCATCGGATTGCCCAACGCGACTCTTGCAATTCGAAGAGCAGGCCAGCGGAGTTGGAGATCGTCCAATGCAGAAACTTTCTGAACTATACATGGCGAGCAACCCCTAAGTGATCTTATCACTGAGGAGTTGCTTGCATCGATGAAATAAATAAATAATCTAGAGGACTATAACACGCCGCCACCGTGTTGCGCGTAGGATGAGGTGGGCGGAGATATTAACGTCACTACTGTCGCCATACACAAATGCAATAGCGTGTTGTTTATGAATTCTTTCTGATCGAATCGGTCGACACGCGCGATTCTCTTTGTGGTGCGAGGCACTCCGGGTGGTGAGAACGATCGGGTCGGATGAATTGCCGACACTCGATCTTGTCAATTCTGCCTGGTTCAAGTGAACTACGCAAGGTAAGACTCAGTTTGGAAAGTCTCGTTGTTCGAGCTTGAGCTTTGAGCTGCTTAGACATTCTGGTTTGGTTGTGATCAACCATCCCGCCAAGTGTCGTCGACGTTGCATAGCCTTGTGGAGGAAGAGTTGCAGGACTCTTTGCAGCCCGTCCTCCCATACCTCACATGATAGCGCATGCCAACCTCTTGACGTTGGAGTCTTGGGACTATCGAAGGTGAGATTGCGTGCGATTTGATGATGGGAGATAAAATCGCGTTGTTTACAATCTGCGATCGAAAAGAGAAGAAAAAGGGGTCGAATGAACCATCACGCCCCAAGAGTCCATTCGCGTGAAAATACTCATGACGAAGTCATTTTCGACAAGGCATTTCCAACGGTGAAGTCGTACTGGCATGTGCAATTGTATATGAATATAAAATATATGGAAATAATGTTCGGAACTGATATAAACGATTGACTCGAATGTGATGGGAAGCTCAAGTTTATCCTATACTCGCACACAATTTATCCTACACTTCGACAAGGTCAGGTAACCCGTTGCCATTCCTCTTACCCAGATCACGACGCAATATGGTGCGTGTGTCAGCGCAGTAAGTGTACCGACCTTGTCAATAGGGTTCTATCTTTTGTTGCCAAGTTTAAATACTGCATATTCTCGTATTTTGTGTTGGCCAATCAGTGGCGTCATATCATATTTAGCTGGGTATAATATCAGCGACGGCCTTTTTTGCGCGCACTATCGTGGGTGCACTTGATCCATACACACAACCACGAACTTTTTCTCGTGTTTCCTGGAGATGGATGACGGGTACCGCGATTTTGTACATCGATATTGCTAGTTGTTGGCGGGGCTCCAGAAGAGTGAAATCGCCACCTATTGCTGTAATTGTGAGCGTAGTTACAAGCTCTTTCCCTTAGCCCCTGGATCATTGCTGTCAGATCCTTGCAAAGTTTCACTTTCCCAGACACTTGTTTCTGAACCGACTAGCAGTCTCGAATCTGCTCGTCACGGGCATTTTGGAACTCGAGACACGTTGAAGGTCCAACAATAACGTACAATTGAAGGACCACCAAGAAGTCACTTGTTTGGGTGGCGGGCGATACAAGGGGGCAGTGTCATTCGAGTTGAGTCGTTGCTCCCTTCCGCAACGTATTTTCGATGATGGCAACGGGAGCATGTCTTCCCTTGCAAACTGTTCGTCTTGAACCTCGAATGAATGGTCACCATGGACGCAATTCGCCTTTGCTGTGGCGAACCGACGCAGCATTTTTGACAACGACAAGGACCAAAAAGTCACGCAGGTACCAAAACCATGTTCAACATTGCGTGCGACAACATATCGTAGCTAGGAAACGCTGCCACTAAAGTTCACGGGCAATGTTGAATGGAAATTTGACGAGGAAGGGCGGTGCTGTTCTCTGCCTTCAAACCCTTCCTGACGCCCTAAGCACTTCGTCGCTTAGACGTCCAAAACAGTGCGGCATCCGACCGTCGTAACTAAAGTGGTGGGAATCGTACAAGTAAATATCTTAGGAAACCCACATGGACGGGCTATTGATAGACAGGGAGGATGAAACAAGCACAAGAATAGCTGGGCGGGCACATCGTCGAGGCAGCTTCCATTCGCCAAAAGGTACCGTACCGACCAGAGTTGATGCATGCGTTGGGAATTGCTCAGAGAAGCGCATCGGACACGGGACAATCGTCGAAGTTCCATCCGCCTGTGGGCACCACTCCTGCCTTTCTTCGAGCCCGGGGTTGCGATAACCATGTTGGTCTTTCCTTTGATCTTGAAAACATACGCATCACAACGAGGTTGACATCACGAATGCATCGAAAACCAATGACATTTAGTTCACCAGAGCAAACACATTTGAGTCGTTCGTTGTCTTGTGGCATCGTTTTGTGCCATTCGCGATGCTACGTCTTCATGCCGCCGGTCGAAACGTGCCGTCCAGCCACGGCAAGCAGGGGACGAAGTACCAGCACAATGGCTGAAAATCGGACATGCTTTGAGCGTTCACACCGCTCGACAGGCGATCCAAATTTCTGCAACCCATGACACAAAGTCTCTTTTGAGTCTGCACGGGAGGAGGGGTGTTGGACTTCTCTCGTCTGAATCGCGATCGATCCAAGTTTGGCAAAACAAAGCACAAATTTTTGTGTGAGCCAACTGGCTGCAGAAGTAGGGGGCATGCCGTGAATACTTGTATGTTGCTTGCACATTTCGTCACACAATTGGAAATATAGGCCCAAAACGTCGGGAATATGCCACGATGGGCCCGAATACCCCATCGCCAGGCAAAATGGCGTTTGGGAAATGGGAAAAGTTGGCGAAATCTTTTTCCGTTCGCGTGATGTGTCCCCAAAATAAAATTTTACATCATTATTGTAGCGTAATACAACGTCCAGGCAATATTTTGTAACAGCAATCATCATGTCTTCGCAAATGTCGTGTAAACGTCGATGAACGCAGTGGTTCTTGGGCGCATGGCGGGCTCGCAGCGCCACTCCATGGCGCTCGAGCGCTCTCGCGCTGCTGTGTTCTGACTGTCGGGAAAATGTATGCTTGGTTGTAGTATGAACAGCCGATCCGTCTATGTGATACACAAGGGTGTTCATATTATACAAAAGTTTGTTGGAAGGGTGAGAAATTTGCATTATACTTAGGGGGGGTGAGTTTCCAAACTGCCAGAATCTGACTGCGCTCAGCGTCAAAAACTAGGGAACACTGGCATTTTTTGTGATATCTCAGCAACCAATGGGAGTTAGGAGTCGCTGTTTGAATAT